TTTCTGTCGCGAGAATATGCGGCGTAAGCATTTATTGGCACTTATAAATAGGTCAGTAAGAAGTAATTAGTCAGATCAATCTCCGAAACCGAATCGATCATTTGAATTGAAGATTTGCTCTGCTTGTCAATTTTTTTTCCTTTAAATGTCACGTAGCCGATATGTGTTCAACGATGAATTGAAAAAGAAATACCCCAGTTTCGAAAAAAGTGAATCAAATGATCATTGCACATTTGATATTTAAAATGTACCGTAATTTTGCAAATATACGGAAATTTTTGAAAAATCCGTATAAATCCGTACGATTCCGTACACAGCGGAAAATCCGTAGAAATCCGGAACATGGTCGAAAATTCCTTACTATACGGATAGAATCCGTACATCTGGTCACCTTAACATAGTGGATGAAATGGACGACGTGTTCATTTCCTTGTTCGCCGATGATGTAAAAATCGCCAAAATCATCAACTCGAGCACCGATGTGGAGGTGTTACAGCGGGCCATCGACAAACTGAAGGTTTGGTGCGACGTAAACAATTTGCACCTGAACCTTGACAAATGCGCCGTCCTTACAATCACCACAAAAAGGAAGGACATCATCGACACTGATTACAAATTACAGGTGAGCGGAGTAAGAGAGTATAATTCATACTCCTACTCCTACTCCCATACAAACGAAAAATGAATATGTCTCGACATACTCTCATACTCATAGATACTCTTTGAGTATGAGAGTATATACTCAGAGTATATACTCTTTGATTTTGCGAGCGGCTTCAAAACAGCTTGTAATACGAGTAAAAATTGCACATAATGAGTGTGAGCGAAACAGCATAAGATTTTGGCGCTCGATTGTCTTCCATATAGGCCAATTCAATTGAATATAATATTATTAAATATTTACGCATGGAAATATCTCGAAAACGGCTGGGTAAATCGGCAAAACGGACCGTGGTGTCACTCCCAAAGGGAGTGTTAACACCCGGCTGGTTTAACGGCCTAGAATACAAATCCGGTGGAATTTCAGCTGATCGATGGATTCTCAGGATTTGACCTGATTCTAGCACTTCAGTTTCTTTGCGTTGTGGTAAAATTCCATACAAAACATAGGGAATATGACTTTACAGATGCACATAAAAAAGGAAGCACTGGAACTCGGTCAAATCCTGAGAATCCATGGATCAGCTGAAATTTCGCCGGATTTGTATTCTAGGCCATCAAACCAGCCGGGTGTTAACACTCCTTTCGGGAGTGACACTAAAGCTGTCAACGGACACGGACAAAAAAGTGAAAAAGTGGTTTTTTGCTGTCCGTCCGTCCGAAAAAAATGAAAATTTTCGACGGACAAATTTTGTCCGTCCGAAAGTTCGGACGGACGGACAATGTCCGAAAATTTTATCTCGGACAAACGGACAACGGACACGGACAGGTTTTGTACGAAACATTTCGGACACGCTTTTTTGTCCGAACATTCGGACAGTCCGAATGTTCGGACACGTTTTCGGACGGACGGACAATTTTTTGTCCGAAATTTGTCCGAAAATTTCAATGAAACTAAAAACACGTTTTCATTTTTTTCGGACGGACAAAATCTGTCCGTCCGAAAAAAAGTTCGGACGGACGGACGGACAACTTCTTGTCCGTTGACAGCTTTAAGTGACACCACGGTCCATTTTGCCGATTTACCCAGCCGTTTTCGAGATATTTCCATGTGTAAATATTTAATAATATTATATTCTATTGAATTGGTCTATATGGAAAACAATCGAGCGCCGAAAACTTATGCTGTTTCGCTCACACTCATTATGTGCAATTTTTACTCGTATTACAAGCTGTTTTGAAGCCGCTCGCAAAATCAAAGAGTATATACTCTGAGAATATACTCTCATACTCAAAGAGTATCTATGAGTATGAGAGTATGTCGAGACATACTCATTTTCAAAATGAGCGCGAATTGGCCCACCTTTATTACAAATACGGTGATTTCACCTTCAAGCGCGTATTGGACCACAAAGATCTCGGCGTCATCATTGATCAGAAGCTTAGTTTTGTCAAGCACATCGACGCAATTACATCGAAGGCGACAGCTGCTCTTGGATTCATCAAGAGATTTTGCTACGACATTACCGATGTTCAAACGCTCAAAACATTGTATTACGCTTTGGTTCAGTCTCATCTTGAGTACTGCAACGTTGTATGGCTGCCAACTTATGCCATACATATCGACAAAATCGAGAGCGTTTTAAGAAAGTTCACACAGTTCGCCCGAAGAGAATATCGTACAGCGGCCAACGGATACAATATCACCGAATACAACAAACGACTGGAAGCGCTGAGCATGACATCGTTGGAACGTAGGAGGGTGAACGCTTCAATTGTGTTCATGTACGACATCGTTAATGGGAACGCAAATTGTCCCAATGTACGCAACGACATAGCAATAGGAGAGAGCGTACGAACGTTACGGCACACTGACTACCTTAAAATCAAAGATAAGCTCATGGACATACAAATCAGAGCTCAAGTGCCTCAAATGTGCAAGTTTGCCAAAAAAGTGGCTGATCAATTCAGAAACTCAACCAGCCGTGCAAACTTCGTCTCGTCGTTACGCGGCGAGCGGAACCAAAAATTTGATACTAAATATTGACAAATTGTTTTCTTACATCCTCACATCTGTATTGAAATAATGATAATTTTCTGTGATATTTATACTTATTTATTGAAATCTAGCATCATTGACTGTGATATAGCCATCCTTTGAGTTGGTGATTAACTTTTGACCGGTTATTGCTTAATAATGGAAATTATTGTATTTTCTTTTTTGTCAATGTATTTGCAAAACTCATTGTATTTTTCTGTCTTTCGGTCTCTACTAAATTGTAAATTTCTAACTACCAACAGGGACTTGTTAGATTAGACGTAAAACTTTTCTTCAATATATCACTTCTTTGATAAATTGATTGATGACTTTTGCAGTCATAAGGCCAAAACTACAATGTTAACGCCTCCACTGGCCTTTCATTTTAGATATTTAGGTTAGGCTTTGTTGAATCGTTTACATTTCGGCTTCCTACTCATGTCCATGTATTGGTTAGGTTATTTTGTGTTAAAATGTTTATAGACCAAATACTTATTCCAATCAAGAAAGACTACTACTAAAATTATCACACACTAAATTGTATATACAAACATGAAAAGATCAGGTTTTTCACGACTCTTGGAGTCGTTTTCCTGCAAACAAAGTATTCAGCCAGTTTTTGGCGGTGTAAATAAATAAATAAATAAATAAATAAAAATGTAATAATACTCACGTTACAGCTGTGGTTTATAAAACGAGCCAAGTTTCCACATTTGGTAGCATCAATAATTGTCTCTACATCTATACGGAAAAGATAGGAGCTTCCAATTCCAATTGCTTCGTATTTAGTTTCGCGCAGATCGGCGACAACTGGTCGAATCATTTGTCCTACATACTCAATGACCATTTCGTCGGCCGCAATTGGTTCCATAGCAAATAAACCCCAGTCGTGAATTGATGATTTGGCGAACTTCAGCTGCTTTTTTCGGAATTTCAATTGGTTGAATTTCAGCAATTCACTCTCGGTACTCGTACCAAATGCAGTTAACAAGCGTCGCTGATTTGAACGCGCTTCACGTGAGCCTTGCATTTTCGAAATCATTTTCGATTTTACTTCATCATCTATCGACGACTCATTGATAGATTTTGAATGATGATACTTGAATCGCATCTTATCACGAATATCAACTTTGTAGTAACCCTCAGTTCGAGCAGATCCACTTGCATGGCGTCGCAGATCTTCATCTTTTTTCCGTTTTTTATTAGGAGGTGGAATAAAACTACGATCTGTCTCACAATGTTCCATGAAGTGAGTTGCATTTAACCAAGAATTATTTGTATCGTCTTGCAGCAAAAACTCATAGCTACGACGAATATATGCGATGTCCTCGGCATCAATTCCATTCGTCAGGAATTCATATAAAAGCATAACTTGCTCTCGTGGATTTCGATCATTATATATTTCTCGTGGAAGATATGAAGACATATTTTTTCCTTCTTGTTTCTGCAATGTTTTCTCCACGTCGATTACGGTCGTTGTTTTAGCTTTCTTTGACTTCCTATTTTGGTTGGCATCTTTTCGGGGTCGACCGGGGCCTTTTGTAGCTGGTTTTGTTACGGAAGCGGTTGTTGTTTTCGTTGACGTAGCAGTGCAAATACTTGTTGACGTTATATAACCATGGTCATGAACAAACGCACTCGTTACTGGTTGTAATGCTTTCGATGTTTCACCAGATACTTGTGGTGATGGCGAAGACAACGATAAAGAAGGTGATGCTGAAGGAGGTAATGAATAACAGTGCTCCATTTGAACTTGACTCGCATGACTTGTTTGACTCTCTTGACTCGAACATGATTCGGGAGAGAGTTTGCCTTTTAGCATTTCATCCTCAGTTGTCTCTGACATAGACACACTTCGAGCTAAACCATTTGTTCCTTGTTGCTGGTTGCCATGCATTTTGGCTTTTTTGGCAGCCAAAGCTTTTTTAGAAATATATCCTCCGTCACTTGAGTATGTGGTTTGATTTCTTAGTTGATCTGAGATTAGTTTGATATCCGGTGTGGGGGGCAATTTAGAAACCGATGGTGTGAGTGGATCGCCAGGACTTGGTGCCTTCTCTGGTAAAGCATTTTCTTCTTCAGTTGTTTCACTTATATGACTTCGTTGACGTTTCAATTGTTCTTCAATGAACTCGCGTTCGATTTGTTCCATATATTCAGTATTTCTGCGCCGTTTCTCTTGATATTCTCGTTCATCTTCAGAATCACTATACAGTCTATCGTACTCAAGTGAATTTGCTTTCTTTTGTTCGGTTGGCGGCGATTCACGACCTGGTGTTCGAGGTGGTTTGATATTATCTATATCAACATTTGGTTCGGGTGTTTTTATTGCATCTTGTAATAGTTCGAGTTCTTTCTCATCCGCTTGATCATCCATACTAATATCTTCGTCTTCACTCACTGTATCCGAATACAATCTAGACTTTGACTTGGCACAAGCACCAGTTTTGTTCGGAACTACTTTTATTTCATCTTCACTGTCTGAATCTGAATAGATCTTCTTTACAACATCTTTCAATTTTGGTGCAATTGTTGGGAGTTCATCAATATCGCTTAATGATGAAGTATCTAATTCACTATCAGACTCAGCACTGCTGCTCTCCTCTTCGCTAGAAGATGTGAAAAAACTGGAAACACTACCGGCTTTTCTTCTTCGCATTTTGGATTCGGTTTCTTTGAGCTTTTCATTGAATGTTGATTTAGATTTTGGAATTTCTTCATCATTATCCGAATCGGACCCTCGAATAATTTCCTCTTGATCACTTAGATCCCTCTTCGAGTCTTCGTCTTGTGGCACCGGACTTGGTGCTTTACGAATACGCTGAAAACGAGGCAGTTTAAGTATTTGCGTTCGAAATCCCAATGTGAAGCCATTCAATTCTTCGCTATTATTGTTATTCAACACTTGATTGATGTCAGGAACTTTGGCTTTCTTTTCTGTACTTGCTTGAGCGCTACAATGAACATAGAGAAATTATTATTTTTTTATATTTCAATGCATTTCAAACCATTTTTTAACTTACATGACATTAGTGGATGGTTTGTTTTTATTCTGCACTTGTTCATCCCACCAAGAATCGTACTTTTTGTACGCAATACTTTCAATCATACGTTTGTTAATATCTCTTTTCAAGATTTGTTTCAATTCGTTCTTAACACGTTCGATTACAGCTGCCACTATTTGTTCGGATGGATCTTTCTTTAGCTCGGGCACCGGTGCTACCGGTTCATCTTCTTTTTTTACTGGATATTCAGATTGCACATATCCCCCTGGTATTATTGTTGGAAAACCTGGCATATAGGGCTGCATGTACCCATGCGATGATACATATTGATTGATATATGGATCGTATGCCGTATTTCCTCCGGTTGGATAGTAATATGGATTTGTATTGGTATTGGTATTGGTATTGGGGGGGTAGTAATAAACTCCAACTTCTGAGGCAGTAATTTTATGCGGTGCCACATCTGGTACAATTGACTTCCGATGGGTCTTATCTTCTGTAGACGATAGACTGGATAGTGACATTTTGTCGTCTTCAACTTTGATATTACCAGCTACAAACTTTGGTGGTGTGCAGGTCTCCAATACTTCGTCGTCACTCGAAATATCACTAGCACCATCTTCAATGCACTTCTTTTTCTCGCATTTAATTTCTAGTTGTTCGCTCGAATTTGATGTCATAAATATTGAATCGTTGCTGGTCGCTTCAACTGCTGCATGTGCAATATTTTCACCAACTGTGTTAATTTCGGTTCTAATTTTCTCTAATATTGAACCTGATGTATCAGATGGGACGTTTTCTTTTTCGGTTTCTGATTCACTGTCATCCAATTGCAAAAACGGTGGTGCGGCACCAAAGGATTTCTCCTTGAACATCAATGCAATTCTAGTATCTAAATCAATGTTACTCTCATCGTCTTGTTCATTATTTTTCGATTCTTTTTTCACTTCAGTTGTGTCCTAAGTGTAATGAATTGGAATTAGAGGTCTCTTGTTTAATCAAATTTCAGTCTTTAGCAGGTTGTAAACAACGAATACCTTTAATGATGTGTTGGAAGCTTTTTGCGCATCTACTCCATCCCAATCATGTCTATCAGGCGCGGGTGGTGGTTTGGTTGCCGCAAGCTTCGGCCATGGATCAGTTGGTGGTGGTGGTGGTTGATAAGCTCTGGGCATGAAATAAGCCAATGTTGAAATGAAGTGTATTTTGAAAAATTACTATATAAAAAATGTTCAACTCACGGTAACGGTGGATACTGGTGGAAAGACGACGAATTAGGGCTTTCAAATGATGAATAATGATGATGACTACTATGCTGATGCAACCCTGTAGTATAATTGCTGACGCTACCACTACTGCTGCTGATATTACTATATGTGTACGAACTGTCTGCTAGCGGCATATAGTCTCTCTCTGATTTTTTGTAGTCACGATATTTGGAATCACGGCTTCGATGATCTCTTTCACGCCGATCACGATCTTTCCTTTCGTAGTCATAGTCTCTTCGACGACCACTATCTCTATCTCTTTCATCACGGTGACTTCGATAGCTTCGGTGACTTCTATCTCGATCTTTTTCACTTTTATAATATCTGGAAGATTTTGAGTCCCATCTTCTGTTTTCTGCTGTTTTTTTGTCATATCGATAATGCCTGAGATCATCAGCTTCATAATGCCTGTGACCATTTGCGTCATCAGCTGGGATATGGCCACTTCTAGTGTATGGATTGTTGTAGTCCGCTTTATAGTAGGGATCTGATTCGTTTAGATGTGGGATCTGATCATCCTTTTGTTTAAAAATTGGTATTGGCGGTACAGGTTGAGGTATCGGATGGCTTGCTGGTGGTTGTGGCTGCACGGGGGGCTTTTGTGATTTCTTCTCACAAGAGGCTTCGGATAGAATTTGTTTGCATTGTTCACCGAAAGCATCGTAGAAAACATTCATCACATTTCCCATTACTGATTGTTGGTTATATTTTTCAATACAGCTGCGAGCTGATTTGACATCAACAAAAACGATTCGGGCGATACCTAAACGACGTTGTGTTCTGGGATGGCGATAAATAATTTGCTCCTCGGTTGGGCCACATTTAGTCAGAAGATTTCGTAAAAAATTCTCATCTACGTTATCATTCATGTTAGTGATTGTGATTTCCACAGCAGGGGGCTCCCCAACATAATGCTCATCGATTTTGAACCTAAGCAAATTTAATTGAATTTTTATCAATATTTAAATTTCATATACATTTTACCTATTATTTTTATTGCGACATTTACCGTGGCACTGATAGTTCGATTGGATCTAAACGAACTCGCAAGCGAATAGCTTTCGCATTGCGTGGATCTTTTAAAATAACTTGTGGATAGTTGGGATCATTCGGAACTACTCCATTGTAGCGATATATTTTTTGTGGCGCTTTCACCAAAAATGGATCTACGATCAATTTATAATCCTGAGCAGACTTCTGCAATGGCGCTGTGCTACTACTGCTATTACTATGGTTTCCGCCCTGCGGATCAATGTTTCCGTTCATCTAAATTGGCACAATGGATAAAAAAAATGATATGCAAAGAATTTTCCGACTTTAATTTCGATCCAGAATAGAAACAAATGGTAACATAAACATAAACTGATTTGTAACATAACCTCAAACTATCAATAGTTGAAGGTAAAGGTTTGAAATTTTGATGTTCATTCCAACAATTTTTCACTATTTCTCGCGAAGTATCAGTATTAGCTTCGAAAAAAAACTAAGTAAAAATATGTAACTAAACTGATTGAAAATATTTCATTCTTACCGTGAACAATTGTCAATTTGTGTATATGTTATATATAATATATTAATATTGAAATTTTCCAAAAGCGACTAATTTGCCTGCTGGTGTTGAACGAGAGTCATCTAATGAAGAAGTTCAACTATTTCAGTCAAGAAGGCTGCTATGTATTATAAAATGGAACAAAAATGCGTCTGCTTCAAAAATAAAAAGGATAAAATAAAGTTCGTTTCCGATCGACAAAACAAATGAGCATGCAATGTTTTCTTACATTTTTAAATGTGTCCTAATCAATAAATCGAGATGGTGAGTGTGAAATAACACGGTATGAACTTATTGAAAATTATAGAAAATATTTAACATAAACTTTTTATGATTTTTTCATAAATCAAGTGTACACAGCGATTTATTTATAAAGACGTCTTAGTCCGAGAGTATATGTATGTTGATGAATGACTGTTTCGACAGTCCACTGTTTGACAGTTTGACACTACGAGAACCATATTGTATACATGGTTGTATACCAATACACTCACCAGAAAATACGTAGAAGATTTAGATTAAGAAAATAAGAAAAAAATTACCAGCAAAACACGTAAGTAAAAATATTAGACAATTAAATTAATTTATGTATGTAATATCTATAGATGGATTTATTTTGACAGTAAAACCATATGTGTGTATGTTAATCTTTGTTAACCAATAGATGGCGATAATTGTGGTGCATTGTAAACCCTGCAGAATATTGTGTCAATGTCATTGGACCTCATTGGATTTATTCTACTTGTATCTATCTTTTCGAAGGGTGTTCGTGTTGCATAATAATAATATTCTTGTGAGTATAGGCTATTTGGAGCTCAATTTTCCACAATTCTCTGTTTTTATCAATTGATTTGGCCGATGAATTCAACAATGATTTTTTTTAATAAATCACATTGCATTTCCAAATTTCTAGGTCAACCAGTGAATATTTCTGTACGAAAATGGCATCAGTTTTTTGTTTTATCAAAGCTGCTCTAATACCAAGCGTAAAAGCGCAAGACGATGTTTCGAATCCACAAGAAGAACTTAAGGTATTCATATTATTGCCACTTTTTTGAAATCATTCGTTTCATTTTTGGAGGTTATGTTCAAATTCGACGTAAGGAATACCTATTTTAATTATTTTTATTTATACAGGAAAAGTGTGGAGAACGGCCGAAAATAGCTGCTTACTACGAAAAATTGCAAACATGCAATGACCGAGTTAATTCTCGAACAAAAACTGAAGAGACTTGTGCTGAAGAACTATTCGATTACATGGATGCATTGAACGACTGTGTGGCCGAAAAGTTGTTTTCAAAGTTGAAGTAAATTCAATCAAACCGATTCAACTATTTGCAAAAAGATCTTTAACATCAACTCTTTTGGATTACCAAATACAATAAACTAGTAAAATAAAATTAATAACTTATAATTGGATATATCCAATATATATATTTGTCTTTGAATATATGGAATAGACAATTGAAGATGTTCCGGAGACATAATGTAGAGTTTTGTGTTTTATTTATTTATTCATTCATTTATTTATACCGACAAAAACTGGCGAAATTTATTTAAAGGGGTATGCAATGCAAAGTCTTTTCATACAATGGTTAGTTACGCTGAAAATTGGACCTGTTCTTCACTAATGATTTCTCCAACATTTCGATTGAGCGTGTTAACGAGGCCAACGCACTGCACTGAAAGACAATCGCTGAGTAAGTGAACTTGCTGTACAAGACTTTGGACGATGCAATCATCAAATTTGTGCCTACTTACATCGTCAAGTCGATACAAAAATGTCCATGGAAAAATAAATTCCTAATAACACTAAAAAATAGGAAAAATAAGGCATGGAAATGCTACAGACGATCAGGCTATCATCAGTTGTTTGAATGGAAATACATTTTGGCGTCTCGTGAATTCGATAAACTGAACAACAATTGTACAACGCATACGTGGACAAAATGAAATCTTCGCTCAAGCATGATGCATCGAGATTTTGGCAATATGTCAATTCAAAGAAAAGCACCGATAACAAACCAAAAGTCATGCAACTTGGTGATGTGTGCACGGCAAACGAAACGGAACAGGCCAACCTGTTCGCTAATTTCTTCAATAGCAACTACAATGACGCAACGACTCAAGGCGTTCAACAATCACCTACCGATGAGTCACAGCAAACTGTGGATTTCCAGCTCGATATTAATTTTGTGCTCGAAGAGCTACAAGCCGTGAACACAAAGAAAGGTACGGGTCCCAACGGTATACACCCGTTAATACTAAAGAATTGTGGGAGTCATTTGGCGGCTCCACTCACGCAAATTTTCAACGAATCGTTGTCAACTGGCCATTTCCCCGAAAAATGGAAGAGCTCTATTGTGACGCCCATTTTCAAAAAGGGGGCGAGATGGAAGATTGAAAACTATCGCTGCATTGCCAAACTCCAAACTGTGGCGAAGTTCTTTGAGCATTTGGTGAACATCAAACTTCTGTCTCTTGTACAGAACAAAATCACCAAACAGCAACACGGCTTTATGAAGTCCAGATCTCCTGCATCTAATCTTACTGAATTTATCTACTATCGTCACATCGCGACATGGGACAAGAAACTCAAATTTCCTATCATTACCAATGCGTCATCGTGATTACTCAAAGTTCGAGCCTATAAATTATATGCTGATGACATACAATAAATTTTATAAATATTTTGTTCCTATCAAACCGCCCAATCTACCTAATGAATGCAATGTTACTACGATTCCAAATTGTGATACTTATTTGATTGATTTTAACACAAATACAAATACTGTCAAACATAGAGTTACCGAATATTTTAAAAGAAGCAGAATTTGAAGAGAGTAAAATGAAATATTAAAATATCAAATTGTAAATATTGTAAATATAAAATAATATTTATACTAAATAAACCACCTCTGGCGAAGAAACGCTGTACGGTGCAGAATAATAATAACTATGCCCAGAGAGGCATAAATTCAGGTGCGCAAGTGGATGTTCTCTACACGGACTTCAGTAAAGCGTTTGACAGAGTTAACCACAAGAGATTGATTCTGAAACTCAGATCGTTCAACCTGCCAGACAATCTTCTTGCTTGGATCGAGTCATACCCATAGCAATGAAGCGCGTAGTTATTTTTCTGTGGCGCCAGTATGACTACGCGCCTTTCGTAGACTAAAATACATCTGACACAAACGTTTAATTTGTTGCTGTGTCTATATAAATCAAATAAAATAATTTCTTTCGAAGTACTCCTCGTGACGAAAGCGAACACGAAACAGTTGATATCAATTTTAAAAAATCATTACGGAGCGATTCTGAAAATAGTTGGAAGAATTTTTAAAATTGATATCGCTGTTTTGTGTTCGCTTTCGTCACGAGGAATTACTTCGGAAGAAGTTTTTTTTATTTGATATCAGTTTTATTTGATATCGAATTTTTTTTTCAACAAAACCAACTAACCCTAAAAAACACAAAGTGGTGTGTATTGAGCCAAAGAAAATGAAACATGAAATGTTGTAGTTAAAAACCAGCATTCTCGCCATTTTGAATAAAGCAAAATCAGCGCGTAGGTAGGAAAGCAGAAGTATGAGCGTGTGGACTCGAGTCCGAGTCGCACACCGGAGGAAAAAAAATTTAAATTTTTTTTTTCGTTAAATAAAATTTGGTTGTTGGACAGACAGATGAAATTACATTTTGTTTTGATGAAATTACATATCGCTTTTATACTAAGAAACTCACATGTTTAGTTTTTTCATGATGAATTTTTTTGATTTTGATTTTTTTCATTAAAAGTCCTTTTTTGTGTTGTTAGTTGATTGCGTGGTATGAAAAGACTTGGTGAAGGGCTGGTATCCGGAAGAATTTTATTCATCTGAACGCAAAAACACTTTGGTTATGATTTTGCTCTAATTCACGGCAAAAAAAATGAGTTTTAGTTGATTTTTGTTGATTTTTCATGTTTTTTCCAACTTCTAATGGCTATATCTCGAAAAACAGAGTTTTGCCGGATATAAACTATATCGACCATTCCACACGAAATCAATCAAAATTCACATCGAGGTTCTCAGAATCGGCTGAAATTTTGCACGGAAATTGGGTTTGGGCAAAAACCCAGAAAGCCAAAATATTTCCCCCGGGTCTGCCCTGGAGACCCTGTATGGCGACGCTATGCCTTCTTACGTCAACGCCAACTGGTGCAAGAACAAGT